TGCTGCCTAGCCTGGATGGATATAACAGAGTTGTTCCTATCCTCTATACTGGAAATAAAGACCTCTACCCACATTTTGATCTTGTTGCATTTCTTGATCAATATTTGGCATTTAGATTTTACTTTTTTAATAATGTCCACCAGTTGTTGTTTGCTTTTATCATCCCATTAGACATCACTGTCACCTTGATGCCCTGGAAGGCTTCTTTGCACTCATCCAACTTCCTTTTCTTCAGATGGAGTTTATGTGGTTTGTCATGGTTATTGACGAGAAGGATTGGATCAGGGACAGGGAAATTCATGTCTGAGTGGACCTAGGCTAAATCATAGTTGTTTTAAGAGTCTCCTTCAAAAAACTATCAAGTTCTTAGAACTTCTTTGGGTAAAAAATTTGCCACTAAATATTCTGCATTACTTGTGATCTGCTCCCTGAAAGAATCAACTTTGAGCTTCTTTTCCTGATCCACTATCAGCCTTTAGGCCAATGCTAGGTTGGACTGAATACAATCTAGTGGGAATTCTGAGGTGGAGGAGTGGAGGACCAAGGAATAAGGCAGGTTTTAGTTTCTCTTGGGCCTCTACTGGTCTACTTGCCTCACCAATTTCTTATTCCCTTCTATTACCTTAACATTTCCCTCCTGGCTCACTTACTTTCTGTCTGGCTTCCTAAATGTTGTATTTGTTGAAGAAGAGAAGAGAACTGAGTCAGAAAACCATGGGCCAGTGAACCTGATGTTGATTCCTAGTAAAATCCTAGAATGGATCACTAAAAAGATGATTAATGAGAAGTCTAAAAACGAAATGGTAGTTACAAAGAGCTATCATGTTTTCACTAACAGGAGGTTATGCCAGAATAGTCTTATTTCCTTTTTTGACAGGGTTACCTAAACTGATTAGGGGAATTCTTTAGATATAGTTTGTGTAGATTTTAGCAAAGAATTGAGAACCATTTGGGCTAGATGATTGGATGGATTTTGAATTCCTTGGACTACTGGACAAAAAGTAATCATTGAGGGTTTAATATCAATTTAGGGTGGTTGAAGGGTGGACCCCAGAGATCTGGGCTTGGCCTTTGGTTATTTAGCATTTTGATGAATGATTTGGATAAAGGCAAAAATGGCCTCTACATAAAATTTTCAATGCGTTAGGTATGAGGGATAGCTAATACACTGGATAACTAAGGCAGGATCCCAATAGATGTCTCCTTTCTATAGCATTGAGCTGAATCTAATAAGGTGAAATTCAGTAGGGATAGGTATGATGTCTTGTGTTTGGGTTTGGAAAATCAATCTCACAAGTATAGAGGAGGGGGAAGAAAAGGTTAGCAGTTTGAAAAGATCTTAGGGTTTTGGTAGATTCAAGCTAATTATATCAGCAATGTGATATGGCTGCCACAAAAACTGTTATAATCTTGTTTTACATTCAGAGAAGTATAGTTTTCAAGAATAAGGATATGATAGTTCCTTTCTACTCTGCCTTAGTCATACTGCATCTGGAGTGTTATGATTAGTTTTGGATTTCACAAGTTAAGAAGAACATTGATGGAAGCTTGAAAGCATCAAGAATAGGGCAGTCAGGATGTCAAGGGCCATATTATGAGGATTGTTTGAAGGAATGGGAGAAGAGAAAACTCAGGGTGGACATGAATGTTGATTTGTTCCATTTGGCCTCCTGAAAATGGACCAGGAACAACGAGTAGGAGTTCCAAAGAGACCAATTTAGACTTAGGAACAATTTCCTAGTCGCTAGAGCTGGCCAAAAGTGGAATGTACTGCCATAGGTGATAAAGGGTTCCCCTTCATCGGTGGTGTTCAAACAGAGGATGGATGGCCACTTACATAGTAAAATATAGTTGTGTTTCTTTTGGGGGTTTAGGCTGGACTAGATAGCCACTGAGACCCTTTCCAATTTTAAAAGTGTAATTTGAAGTAAAATATTTCATCTTACTATCATGCCTTTTCTCTTGAATGCAAGATTGTAGGGATGTTGCTGATTGCAAGTGAGCTTTGGTGGAAACAGAATTGGAAGCTGTTTGGTTAGTGAGATTTTAGCAGATCTTGAGATGAGAACTGGCTATTGGGAGGGGCTTGCTGTAGAAGCACAAAGATTTAGGAGGAAAATAGTGCTTAAAATATTCCAGGTGAACTCATTTGGCTTTCAGGCTCAGCCTGACGTGGAAGCAAAAAAGTAAAATTAAAGATTCTTTGCTCTTGTTGTTGTAGATTCCAGATAGGACTTTGGGGATTGTAGACAATGCATGAACAACTGTTATAGATTTAAAATGAAATTTAGCTCTTTTAGATTACTTAGCATTTTACAACTGAATGAGAAAAAGAACATTGTTGCCAAATGAATAAAATTTTGTTTTCAAAGCAGCTTGACTTTATCCCATAGAATCCAATCAATCAATAAGCATTTATTAAGTGCCTACTAAGTGCCAGGTTGTAAGTTAACTAGGCCATTTTTGTTTTTGTCTTTGTGTGCTTCATGCACAATTTCCTGCACTTAGCAGAAGCTTAATAAAAAAGTTTATCAAATTGAATGTGCCTATTCCAGAGGAGCAGAGAAAATGGTAGATACTTATCTGACACTTAGCATGAGAAGAATCTGGGATAAGATGGGAGAGGAACCTGGAAAATATCAGCCCACTGGGATATGCACATATCCACTCACAATCCCACTAGGACAAGGGGATATGGTGTAGCAGAAAGAACGTTAGACTTGGAGTCAGTTAGTCAACCACTCAATAAAATATTAAGTGCCTATGACATGCCGGGCACTATGATAGACACTGGGGATACAGAGAATGAAACAATTCCTACATGCAAAGAGCTCATATGATATATATATATATGTGTGTATATATATATATATATGTATGTATGTATGTATATATTACACATATAACATATATAACTATATACAAAATAAATACAAATATATTCAATGTAATTAAAATGAGGTAGATTAGAAGGGAGGCCACTAGCTTTGAGGGAGATCAATAAAGGTTTTACTTAGAAGATGGTGCTTGAGATGTGTTTTAAAGGAAGAGAGAGATTCAGTGAGTCAACGAGCTGGGTTTGAATGTGGCCTCTGTTACTTACTGTGTGACTTTGGGCAAATAATTTAACTTCTCTGGGCCATATTTTCCATATTTGTAAAATGAGGGGGTTGGACTAGATGATCTTTAAGACCTCTTCCAGCTCTCAACGCTGTAATTCTTTGATTCTAGGTTATTTCCTAGGCTGTTACATGAAGGGGCAGGAAGCTAGTTCAATAGAAGAGATACTGAGAGAGTCTGCCAAAATTAGGAATACATCCAAGTTCCACAGGCCAAGCTTCACAGACAGCTTGTCTTCTTTGAAGAGGGTTATCTTCTGTAGAGAGAGAAGAGCTGCTTGTTCTCTACATAGAACCCCTCACTATAGCCTCATCGTGATTGTTTGAGCTAGCCTCATCTCTATGTACATTGTACTCTCTGGCAACCCATATGGAAGTTGCATTTTTTATCAGAGAAGCAGCTGCAGTAGTGAAAAAGGCACCGGACTTAGTGTCAGAAGACATAGGTTTGAGAATTTGGTTTGGTCATTTGCTTTTTCTGATCCCCAACTGTAAAATGAAGGTAATATATTTGTACTACTTACCTCACAATTGTTTTGAGAAAAAAAATGAGATATATGTAAAGTGCCTTCTAAACCATAAAGACCTATTAATTTATTGTTATTACTGATGATTTGAAATATTTAAATCTGGATATTTTAATATGATCATTTTTGATATTCCAAATTATCTTCCTGATTCTAGTGTCAACCACTATTCAGGGTAGTAGAATCATAAAATCATAGCATTTTGAAGTAGGAATAGATTTTAGATATTCATTCAAACTGTCTTATTTGATAGATGATGAAAATGGAATTTAGCAAGGTTAAGCAGCTTGTGGTAGGTCACACAACTAGTCATTGAAGAGCTAGTACTGGATTGAAAGTTTCTTGAGGTCAGAGAGACTCTATCTCCTGTTTCTTTTGTGTCTCCTCACAATATTCTTTGTAAGGTAGGAACTGAGTAAATGAATGTGTTGATTGACTGACCTTTCCCTTAACAAGTAGAGGGAATAGAAGTCCTAGGCCTACCAGGAATTGGCTTCTTCCTTTCTAGGGTGCCATTTTTCTTAATCACTTATCCTGTAGGATAAGTTATGGCTGAGTCAAGGGCCTTCAGGCTCTTCCCGATCTCTACTCCATTCCTGATTTAATTTTTAGGTTGGTTACAAATCAAGTTAGGTTGTTAGGAAAAAGCTTGACTTGGACAATGTATTCCAGGAAATCAATTCTAGGAAGTCACATAGTTTGCTGGTCAGATTAGGCCAGTGCTGGTTCCTAGAACTGAAATGGAGTTTTAGGTAACAGGTCTAGCAAATTTTCACTTTCTCCAAAAGCATATCTACTGCTCAAAGTTCCATTTTTCTACTGAGTTGCATGCAACCCACATTTTTCAGTATCTAAATGGGTAAGAAGTAGTAATTAACTTCCCAAATAAGACTATCAACATTTGGCAAATGGTTTTTGTCTGAGGCTTGTAAACTTTTAATGGAAATGTGCATAATGTTTAATAGAAGTTTGGCAAAAAAAAAAATAGTTAAATATTTTGAAAAGCTATTTAAAAATATTGTTTCAATCTAAATTTAATTACCAGTTGACTTAAAAACTGTATTCAGATAAAAAACCCCATAATATTCTATTTGAAATGTGTCCTTGGAATAAATTTACCTGGCAGCAGAATCAGGTAAAAATATTCATGGAAATGCTTGTTTGAAATCTATTACTTCTATTTTGAATTGTGAAATCAAAGTCATAAAGAGAGCATGTTATTTCTGAATGAATAGCAGCATTTTTCTAACTGCTTATCTCGTGGACACTTATGTCATCATGGTAAATTCTTACTAATAGTCTTTGAACTTCTTTCTCTGTCCTTTTCTTCTTGACCATATTTTGCTGCCTTTAGCGCTTCAGCATGGAAGGGATCTCAAATGTCATTCAGAATGGCTTCCGCCACACCTTTGGGAATTCGGGTGGAGAGAAACAGGTGCTCGGTTATCTTTATTTTCCTTCATTCTCTGCTTGTTGCTTCTCTGTGTAAGTTAAGATCTTGAAAGCTGTTAGTTTTACTAATTAACTAAGACCATTACTTACATGGGAAAAGTGGAAGTTCATGCAGACTTCTATACATTTAATTCTGCAGAATTTCTCTTAGGGGAGAAATTTTTCAGGTTAGAATACACACACACACACACACACACACAGAGGCTTCATATCTGCTGTAGAACTGTAGTCTTCATGCTTAAACTGAAATGATTAGGCACTGTTTTAAAAAATCAAGTACAGGGTGCTATTCCTTATATGTACAGAACTACAGATAGCATGATTTTATATTCTATCAGAAAAAAGAGAGTCAAATATTACAGCCTTTATTGTTTGACTTGGCTCTTAAGGGACTTATTCACAAACATACATATATACATAGGTAGATGGATTTTTTCCCTTTTATTTGTATTAAAAGAAGACAGTAGGACTTAGCTATATGTAGGTCATAATATATTGAAGTAAGTTTTACAACTAGTCTTTCTGAATTTATTCTGATAAGTGAAGGTTGGGGACATGGATCATCCAATATCATTAATGAACTTTTTTATAAGAGTTCAGGTTTGCAACAGTATGTACAACTTATTAATATGTCATATTTCTCTTTTCTAATATTAATATCCTTTTAAACATAGAAGCATATTTCCATTAACAAGAGATATGTTTAATGTCTAGTTTTAAAGAGAAAAGAAAATTTATCTTTAAGTTTGATTACTTGTGATAACTAGGGTTAGCCCTAAAGTTAGTCCAGATATGATTCTAGATGGGATGGAATCAGAGCCCAGGGGTTTTTTTTTTTGGCTTGCATGTTTCCTGTATACTATTTAAGAAAGAGTGGCAAGTTCAGGTCCAAGAGGCAGGTCAAAGAGGAAAGTTGCATGCATGTGGTTCAGGGTGGGGCTGAAGCTAGAGTCGATGTTAACTTTTCACATCTCTCAAGGTGGCTCCAGTTACTCCCAAACTGATTCCACTCCAGAATTGGGATCAAATTTGCAAGAAAGACTGTTTTCACTTGAGTAGTATGTGTATGCCAGGACCTGTGGCACTCTTAACAACCAGAAAGTTTCCTGCAATGCACTGAAATAATGGCACAAAAAAGATGGTGCACTTTTGTCTTATGTGTTTTTTAAACAAAGAAGCACCTTCAGTTGTGTCTTAAGCATTATTGTGGTAAAGTCACCATCAGAAAGAGGATTTGTAGGTCCTTGAGGGGTGTCCCTTCAGGAGATGGGATTTGAGTTGCTTGCTATGAAATAAGTTCTTTCATGTCAGTCAAAGATTACAAGTGGGATAAGAGAATTCAGTGCTAGTATGCTAACACTGTAACAGATGCAACGAGGTGTATTAGAAAGAACACTGGATTAAAGTGACAGAAACTGCTTTTGAATCCTCCTTACCACCTGGGTGTGATCTTGGGCAAGTCACTTAACCTCTTTGGGCTGTTTCCTCATCTGTAAAATGAGAGGGTTGGACTAGATCAGTGCTTCTTAAACTGGATCATCACAGTGATCCACAGTTAAGAAGCGCTGAAGGGATGAGCCCTGGACTAGATGATCTTGAAAATCTCTTTTAGCTCCAAATTTTTTACATCAGTATATGATGAGTTAATTGATCTATCAGCTTAATAAGTACCAAGTAAAAATTGAAAATGCAGTACAAAGATTTTGGTCAGAATGGGAGAAACTAAGTGACTATTTTTTTAGGTTTTATGGATTTAGGATATGGCTAACAAGTGTATAATTTGTCTAAAAAATGCCTATTTACTCTTTTGTTGGTAAGCTGTTTTCATATCTTTCTCTTTTGTGAATTTCATATGTTTTTAACTACTTATATAATTTAAGAAGTAATAATACCATGGCATTAATGTTTAAGATGATGTATTTGTATTAGCTTTTGGCAAGTGCTGAAGTATAATATTTTTGCAGTTGTCATTTTGTTCTTTAAGAGAAAATGTAGTGGGGCAGCTTGGTGGCACAGTGGCTAGAGCACTGGCCCTGGAGTCAGGAGGACCTGAGTTCAAATTTGGCCTCAAACACATAACACTTAGTAGCTGTGTTACCCTGGGCAAGTCACTTAACTCCATTGCCTAGGTCCTCCCCCCCCCAAAAAAGTAAAAGAAAATGTAACTGAAATTAAGCAAGAAAGGCAGAGGCTGTATACACACAGTGTTAATAAAATGGTATACATTTTAGGGATTAGACTAAATGGTTAGGGACTAGTTCTGGGATTTAATTGATATAGGAAACCTTCAGTTGAGGAAACTCCACTTATGCAGGTTGGTGCCTTCTTTGTAACTGGTTTATGCAGATATCAGTAAATATTTTATTGAATATCTGCAAGGAGGATGGGACAAACTTTAGCTTTAAAAGTGAACAAATTGTCTTTACATCCACAAGTGAATTTTCAATAATTGAATATAAAATAACTTTGTATATGAGATATAATAATGGTTTTGTATGAAATAGATTGATTTTGTTAAAAATGAAAAAATAGATTAGTATAATTATATTTCTAATATATAACTGCACATATTGATTACTATAGCAATGTGTTAATGTTACAAAGTAACTAGACTTTCTGTTAACTAAATGAGTTTTTTGCAATTAAACATAATAACTAAAGTAAATAATTCTTCACTTTTCACTTGGTAGTACTTGACAACTGTCATTCCTTATGAGAAAAAAAATGGACCACCTTCTGTTGAAGATCTTCAAATATTAACAAAAAGTAAGCAAAGGATATTTTAACTGTTAACTTCTTTTTTAATATTGACCTCTAAAATCTTTGTTTTTATTTAATGATATTTTTATGTCAGTTGGAAAAAGAATTATAAAGGGTAGCAGATTGAAGACTTCATCCCTCTGCATCTAATTACTGAAACTGGCCAGCTGCTGAAAGTTGTTTGGAGGAGCTGAGGTCTTTGTTGCCTGACAGTGTATACCCTATACCTATAGTTTTTGATCACTGGGATTTCTCTATAAGAGAGGGTATAGTGACTGTAGATAGTGCTCAGGGTTTGTCCCTCTCTTCTGGGGAAGAAAAGTTTCTTAGAACTCCTGAGGATGAAGACTGGTAGTTCTTTTTAAATTTTTTTTCACAATTACATGTAAAAATTATTTTTAAACATTTGTTTTTTAAAATTTTGAGTTCCAAATTTTTTCCCTCCCTCTCTCTCTTTCAGCCCCCTTCCTTGAGAAGGCAAGCAATTTGATATACATTATATGTGTTCAGTCAGGCACAATATATCTCCATTTTAGCTATATTACAAAAGAAAACACAGACAAAAGAAAAAGATAGTAAAAAAAAGTTTTGATCTGCATTCAGACACCATCAGTTATTTTTCTGGAGATGGATAGTATTTTTCATCATAAGTCCTTTGGAATTGTCTTTGATCATTGTATTGCTTGAGAATAGCTAAATTGTTTATAGTTGGTCATTGTACAATATTGCTGTTACTGTGTGTAGTGTTTTCCTGGTTCTGCTCACTTCATTTTATATCTCTTCATTTAAGTCTTCCCAGGTTTTTCTGAAACCATCCTACTCATCATTTCTTATAGCACAAAAGTATTCTGTCACAATCATGTACCACAACTTGTTCAGCCATTCTTTAATTGATGGGCCATCCCCTCAATTTTCAGTTTTGCCACCACAAAGAGAGCTGCTGTAAATATTTTTGTACATATAGATCCTTTTCCTTTTTCTTTGATTTCTTTGGAATACAGACCTAGTAGTGGTATTGCTGGATCAAAGGGTATGCACAGTTTTATAGCTCTTTGGGCATAGTTCCAAATTGCTCTCCAGAATGGTTGGATCAGTTCACAACTCCACTGACAAAACATTAGTGTCCCAATTTTTCTACTTCCTCCAGCATTTGTCATTTTCCTTTTCTGTCATACTAGCTAATCTAATAGGCGTGAGGTAGTCCTCAGAGTTGTTTTAATTTGCATTTCTATCATTGGGAGTGATTTAGAGTAGTTTTTCCTATGACTATAGATAGTTTTGATTTCTTCTTTTGAAAATTGCTTCTTCATGGCCTTTGACCATTCTTCTCAGTTTGACTCAGTTCTCTATATATATTTGAGCAATGATGCCTTTATCAGAGAAATTTGCTGTAAAACTTTCCCCCCAGTTTCCTGCTTTCCTTTTAATCTTGGCTACATTGATTTTATTTGTATAAAACCTTTTTAATTTAATGTAATCAAAATTTTCCATTTTATATCCTGTAATGTTCTTTATCTCTTGTTTGGTCATAAATTCTTCCCTTATCTATAGATCTGACAAGTAAAATATTCTATACTCCCCTAATTTGCTTATGATAGTACCCTTTATGTCTAAATCTTGTATCCATTTTGACTTTGTCTTGGTATATGATGTGAGATGTTGGTCTATACCTGGTTTCCACCAAACAGCTTTCCAAAACTGGAATTTTTTGTCAAGTAGTGAGTTCTTGCCCCAGAAGCCTGGATCTTTGCATTAACTAAATGCTAGATTACTATTGTCATTTACTATTGTGTATTGCAAACCTAATCTTTTCCATGGAGGCATTATTTTGAAGTTGTTTGGAGGTGAATTTGGGAGATTTCAGGTGAGTACCTATTTTACTCTGCCATCTTGGCTCTGCCTCTGAAGGCTGGTAGTTCAAGTACTCTCTCTCTCTTATAGCTGTCTCAAGACTGGAGTGTGTATTCAACAGTTATTATAGAAGGAATCCTGCTATCACTGCTTCAAGTTTCTTGTTCTCAGGAAAGATAATGGATATCCTCTGTAAGATACCCATTTGTCAGTTAGGCCCATTCATGTTGAAAGGATTAGGAATAGCTATCTTAGGTATATTCTTGAGCTCGATAGAACTGGCATTTTTTTTTCTCTTAAAAGTTTTGTATGGGAAAGGATGTGGGAAAATAAGTGAACACTAATGAATTGTTGATGGAGTTATAAACTGGTCCAATCATTCTGGAAAACAATCTGGAACTATGCCCAAAGGTCTATAAAACTGTGCATACCCTTTGACCCAGCAAAACCACTACTAGGTATGTATCCCAAAGAGATGAAGGAAAAGGGAAAAGGACCAACTGTACAAAAAATATTTACAGCAGCTCTCTTGGCAAAGAACTGGAAATTGAGAGGATGCCTAACAATTGGGGAATGGCTGAATAAATTGTGGAATATGATTGTGATGGAATACTATTGTGCTGTGAGAAATGATGAAGAGCATTTTAGGAAAAACCTGGGAAGACCTATTAGAGTGAAGTGAGCAGAACCAGGAGGTCATTGTATCCAGTAACAGCAACATTGTAATGATGATCAACTTTGAAAGACTAAACTACTCAGATCAATACAATGATCCATTACAGTTTCTGAAAGACTTATGTCAAAAAATGATGTCCACCTCCAAAGAGAGAACTGATGAACTGAGTACAAATTGAAGTATAATTTTTTCACTTTTTCTCACTTTTTTTGTGACATGGCAAACATGGAAATATGTTTTGCATGATTTCACATGTATAATTGTATAATAATACACGTATAATTAATTGCTTGCCTTCTCAGTGGGTGGAGGAGGGGCTAGAGGGAGGGAGAGAATTGGGAACTCAGAATGCTAAAAATAATATATTTACATCTACATTATATGTGTGTGTGTGTGTGTGTATTTGTATTTACAAAAGAAAAGTTATTTGAAGCAAACAAAAAAAGCTTTGTATTGTTGTTTTCTGTCAGGTTTAATCCAGAAAATGACAGGTTATCCAAAGCAATGAATGCTGCTTCCTGCTCTTGAGCTATACTTAGATATCATGAGGTTGGATGGGCCCGTCCTTATGTAAAGGCCACCGAGCAGCCATCAGTGTATAGAAAAATGTGAGGATTATGTGTATTATCTTAGTTTGATAAAAATTCCTGAAAATCCAATCCAACAAGCTTTTATTAAACACCTGTTATGACTAAGATACTATACTAGCCAAGATATAAAAAAAAAATGAAAAGTAATCTCTATTCTCATGGAGCTTACATTCAATGTAGGTTGTTAGGTCTTTAAGATCTTAGAGCACAGACAACATTTCATTTCCATTTTTGAATCCTTACTGCTTATTATGGCACTGGACACATAGTAGGAACTAAGAAATGTTTATTGGTTGATTTATTCATTAAGTATGTGTCTAATTATTTAGGTACCTAAGAACCTAATTTCTTAAAAAAAAAGTGAAGTGTGTAGTTTCCAGCTTTTAGAATGCTTTGAAAATCATGTACTATGAAAATTTATATAGAGATTCATCATTGGAAATCTATGGCTCTGTGCCAATAACATATTTCCCCTACCCCATCTGCTTCTGGTTTGTTTATTAGTCCTTTAAAATTTGGAATTAGAGGAACAACTCTTAGGTTGCAAAATGTTCTTGTTTGAACAAAGACTTGTCTAACCAATATAGTTCTGGGCTCTGATATAATATGTCTCTCCCCCTCTCCCCCACACCCAGTGCATAATTCAAATGGAATATGGTTATGATGTCTAAACAAACTCATGATTAAACTTATGATGGATCATATTTTTTGTTTAATTGAAAATTATGTGCCTTTTTTTTTCTTTTGTCCATATTGTAGTCCTTCATGCAATGAAGGAGGACAGTGACAAAGTTCCAAGTTTGTTAACAGACTACATTCTGAAAGGTGAGTACGTATAAAAGCATAAACACACTTGATTTTTTCTGGTAAGTAAGATAGGGCTATCTTGCCAATAGATTTTTTTTTAAAAAACCTACTAATCTAGAATATTTGTCAGCTTTTCGTAAACTTACTAGAGTTATGTGGTAATATACCAGTAGCTTACAATACTAGTGCTATGGATTACATTTTCAATTTTTATTAACCTTCTTATAGGTCCAGAGTCTGTGATAACTTTCACAGTTGGATATTAAACAGAGATGCAAGTGGAGGAGAGGGAGGAGAAAAAAAGGGGATGGTGGCCCTATTGCTGGTATAAGAAGTAGGCTTCAACAATTGGTGAAGAGAGTAATCATGTCATAAAGGAAATCAAAATTGACTGTCCATAAGGAGACATAAAATAGAGCATAATGTATCAAAAATCTTTTTGGTAGAAGAGAACTCCAAAAGAAGATCACTTCAGTGATTGTTGAAAGGCATTAGGAGAAATCCAGAAACAGGCTGATGGACTGAGGCATAAATGTTGGCAGCATGGTAATAGATTCAAAATAGAGTAGAAGCCAGGGAGGAGCATTTGAAAAGTTAGTGAAAGTACTTTCAATGTGGCTGAAAAGGTCAGAAGCTGGATTTTAAGGGGTAACTAGAGAACTAATGTAATGATATATAAAACTAAAATTCCTCTTATAATTAAACTTGAAAATATGTTGGTTATTGGAATACTTAGATTTGCAAAGTATTGTAAAATTTATGTTGTAATTTTTTGCCATGATACTGTAGGAACATTCCACTTGGGGTGGTAACTATTTCTTTCCTGTAACTCCATTCTTCACCAATAAAGTATCTTCCCAGGCAGGTTAAAAGATTGAACTTCTCTATTGGTCATTAGCTATCTTAAGAAGGACTTTCTTGTCCCATATTACCTGTGTGAAAAAAGGGGAAATATGATGAAATGAGTCACATGGTAAATCTGACACGAGTGAATAAATCATAAATGTCTCTAGCCAGAAATTCATGTGCCTCTAAATTCACAGGTTGATCATTAGTAGATTAATATAGTGAGAAAAAAATTCCTGATTCAACACATAGTCCTGTAATGCTCTCTTTTTCTGATGCAGGATTTTTAAAATTTCAGAATTTTTTTATACCTCACATCTTTGTTTGCTTTTGTGTTCTGCTAGCATTGGTATGAAAGCTGGATTGTCCTGAGGTTTGTGTCTTATTGATGTGATACAGGAATGAGAAGAGTATAAAGAACATGTCTTAATTTCTGATTAAAGTAGTACCCTACTCCTATGAGGGATAATAGTAGAATGAGCTTTTAAATCATTCTCTAAAATTTAACATTTGACTGAAAAGGAAGAGTTTTATGATCAGGATAGCACAGTGCCCTGGGGGAAGTAATTTTTAAAATTCCTAAATCCGGAAAATGTACTACTATAAATTTCACCTATACTGCATGATTCAATGAAATCACACCCTTATTTTTTGCATCCTTCCTGCTCAAGCAACTGGCTTCTATCTTTTATTCCATATTCTCTTAATAACAGCAACTGCCTTTAATAAGATGTTTGTGCATGCATATTGATTTTGCATTTGCCCTCTCTGTAAGGACTGGGTGGAAAAAGAAGCTCACAAGCTACTTGACTGCAAGTAATTATGTAGTCAAAAGTACATAAGAAGAAAGAAGGAATACCATACAAGTTGTACAGTGGAGGTGGGAGGTTGGTCTGAGATGATTAAGCAGTACTTTTCCACCCATTATGGAGATTTTCCCCTGCTTCACTGTTCGCCTTCACAGAGACCAGTTGGGGAGCACTTTGCCAACCGGGAGAGGGTAAGGGAGCAGGGGAACTCCTCTTCTTCTTTGGTTTGTTGTTGGCTTGTTAACTGATCTTGAGAGATGTGGCTTGTGTGGCTAAATACTCATCTAGTTTTAAAACCAAGCTGAGAAGTGAAAGAAGGTTCCAGTGAGGGCATAAAGAATGCCTCAATTAGTTATGCAGGTGACCTGGAGGGAAGCATAGAAGAAGCATGGGCCAGTTAAGCAGCTCTTTCCCATCCTTGCTTAATTGTTCCCACTGCCCCCTCTGCCATCTAAGAGGGCCGAAGGCAGGAAGTTTAGGAGGTATGGTTGCTGCCGTATTGTTCCTATGTGGGAATAAAAATGTTGGCAGAAATTTTGCACCCTTCTTTTACTACATAAGAGATCTTCCTTTGCTTTTTAAAAATGCCTTGCAGTATACGGTTGAAATTATAGTTCCTTCCCTTTAATAGTGATCAATGAGACATGGACTTTAGGTTACTCATTTCTGGAAAAACCTAGTTAATGTGTTTTGATGTAATGTTTCATTGTGGGATATAGCCCTGTGAAATTGTTTCACTCTGCTCTGTAGATAGCAGTATATGATATTTTAGTTGTAGTGAGAATAGAACCCAGTGCTTCTGTAGTCTTTTGTCTGCCTGTTTACATTTTTTATTTTTATTTTTATTTTTCAGTTCTGTGCCCAACATAGAGGAGCAGCAGTTCACCTTCCCTGGATAACAAGCTAAATCACTGTTCACATGACCTGAAAGCTTGTCTGTATTTACCTTCCAGCGATGGAAACTGCAGCACTCAAGCACATGATGATAAGCTTCAGTATTAATAGGCAGTGGCTCCACTCATACCTTGTTTTGAATCAAGAGAAATTTTGAATCATGAGCATTATTTTTGGTTTTGCTAATCTATTAACAATTATAAATTATCCCCTTGCCTTGAGGAAGGCAGAATAACATTAATTGTGCAGTTCCCTTTTAATTGACTTACATTAAGACTGAATTTTTATTGGTTTCTGGACCTAAACTGCACTGAAAAGTCAAGCCTTAAGTGTTGAGAAATATAATCTGTGTTCTACAGTGGTAGTGGGAACACTGATTTTTTTTAAAAAGAAAATTAGAATATTAACTACCAGTATTGTATAGAGATTGAATCTTAGAGCTTGCAGTGCTTTTAAGGAACTAAAAGCAGGCTAGGCTTTCCTTTTTGTTACCACTTGATGAATGAGAACAATCATCATGCTATTGGAGATAATTGTATAGTTTGCTATTTGTTTTTAACTAGTGTTTTATTTTTAATATTTAATAGCCATTCACTTCCAGTATTGCTTAATTACATTTAAATGTTCTGTTCCATGCAATTCTATTTGAATTGTTTGGAAATGCACTTGAAGAGGAGTTCTCACCCTTTGTGGTGCTGGAGAAATGATATACTATAGTATTGTACTTGTCTCTTCCAGTGTGGTATGATGGTATTTATAGTCATATTTTCTTAAAACATTAATTCTACTCATGGATTTATCACTAATCTAGAAAACACATTTGCCAGTCCGATCAAGCCAATGTCATGTAATAAATGTTTAAAAAAATCAACCATCGTAAAATATTTTCAAATGTCTTATTCTACAAATTCAAAGTCAGACTTCCTGATGAGAATTCCTTTGATGTCTCAGTAACTTGTTTTTACTAATCCCTGTAGAATTTAGAGCTTCAAACTGAAAAGGCTGGCCATACAGCAAAAGAAGGTTAAAGAGACTATAGCTCCTTCTAGAGAGCTGCCATAGTAGAAGTCTTGCTCATTTCTTAGGACTGCATGGAATACTTAAAAGGTGGAACAGATACTATAATATTTTTAAAGTGTAATAACTTTTTATGTATATGTGACACCATGTTGTGTGTGTGGGCATTTCCATGTTTATGTCTCTTATGGTGCATAGCTATTCCTGATAGAGATGATTCTGGATAGCTCATTCCATTTTAGTGGATTGGATATCAGTCACTTTATATTCAATTTCATTCATTCAAAAAGCATGTATCAAGTGCCTAGTATGTGTCAGACACTCTGTTAGGTGCCGGGGATATAAAAACAGATAAAATAGCCCATGCTCCCTTAAGAAATTTTCATTCTTTTGGGGGCATGAATACAAGAAAGTAAACTAAGAATATGTGCAGAGTAGATACAAAGTAATTTTGCTTGGAGGGGAGGCATTAATAACTTCTGGTAGGAAGTAGCATTGAGCTGAAATTTAAAGGAAGGTAGGGATTCTCTGAGGGGCAGTAAGAAAGAGGTTTATTCTAGGCATAGGGGACACCTTATATGATGGTGTGAGGCTAGGAGATGGAATTACATGTTATGAGACAGAACAAGTATGCTAGTTTGGAATGTCAGATGTGTGAAGGAGAATCACATAAAAGTCATCCTGGAAAGGCAGGGCTGGAGCCAGATCGTAAAAGTCTAAAAGCTGAACTGAGGATAGGGTTGTATTTTAACTTTAAGGCAAGAGTGAGCCACTGGAGTTTCCTAAGTGGAGTGACAGGGTCCTGTCCTTTAAAAATATCAATCTGGCAATTTTCTGGAGGGGATGTCAGAGAGGGAAGAGTTCTTGACAATTGTTCAGGTTAAAGGGAATGATAGCTTGAACTATGATAGCCATGTGAATGAATACAAAGAGATGGATGCTGAAGACATTATAAACCTGCAAATGAAAACACTTGTCAGTTGACTGATAATGAAGGGTGAGAGAGAAGCAAGAGTCAGGGACAGCTTCAGAGTTGTTAACATGTGTGACTGAAAGGTCTTTGATCATAATAGTGAAGTTGGGAAGAAGGAAGGATTTTTTTAAAAAGATGATTTTAAGGGGCAGCTAGGTGGAGCAGTGGATAGAGTACCAGCCCTGGAATCAAGAGGACCTGAGTTCAAATGTGACCTCAGAAACATAGTATTTCCTAGCTGTGTGACTCTGGGCAAGTCTCTTACCCCCAATTGCCTCACCAAAAAAAGATGATTTTAAGTATTTAAATATTAAATTTTAACTAAGTATTAAAATCTTTAAAAGATTTTAAGTTATCTTGGATACATTAAATTAGTGTGCCTGTAGGCATACAGTTTGGAAATATATCCAATAGGCAGTTGGTCACGTGGGGCTAGAATTCAGGAGACAGGTCACAGTTGGATATATAAATCTGGGAGTTATCTGAATAAAGATGATAGTTGACCTATTGGAGTTGATGAAATCACTAAGGGAGTGTGGAGAGAAAAAAGTCCCATGTGTAGGAGTCGGGTAGGAGGATAAGCCAGTGAAAGAGAGTGAAAAGGGCTGGCTTTCTTTCTGATCTATATTCATGATGGTTTCACCAACTTAAATTAATTGGGCCAGCCTAACTTAATCAAAACCGCTCAATTCTCCTTTAAAAAAAAAAAATGCAGCATTATACTACCTAGACTAAGAGAACGGTTGAGTTCAAGTTCTTAGGGATGTGGGTATTTGAAGAACTGAAATGGATGAAATAAAGGAGGGATTTGACCTCTTCCATTTGGTTCTAAAGGGCAGAAGTGGGAGCCATGGGTGGATGGCGCATTTGGGCTTGTGGTAAGAAGAAATACCTTCCTGGCAGAGCTGTCCATAAGTGGAATAGATTCCCTTGGGAGATAGTGAGTTCTCCCTCACTAGAAGTATTTAAGAAAATACTACAAGACTACTTGTTGAGAATTTAAAAAAAAATTCTTGCTCAGACACAAATTGGACCAGATGGGGTTTGAGGTTCCCTCTAGTTCTCAAGTTCTGATGATTCTGTGACCTTAGACCACTGTTTCTAAATGGGTGCTTTTAAAGTGTTCAAAACAGCAAGTGGGCTAAACTCACCTTATCTTATTTATCTTCATAGAAAACTTGACCAAGGTTGAACTGAAGTTTATAACATTCCAAGTTAATGAAGCCTGAATTAGAAGTTAAAGACTTGAATTTTGCAGATCAATAGGCATTCTTATTTTTCTACAGATGAAATGTGTGTCTGTGGTTATTATGTTGACTCTACAAAGTGATCTGAAATGTTTCCTGCTTTCTTATGGCATGGCCCACATGACACCATTATGGATTAGTTTTCAGAGGGACTTCATGGATACTGTAGTTCATTAAGGTGAAGTATTTTTCAGCACAAAGCTTCATGTCCACTTGTTCATTGTGATGAGCCTGTAGTATCTGGGTTTATGATTGTTAAAACATTTGTATTAGATGCTGGATGTGTCCTATTTAATGAGTAAGTTCTCAACCAGATGATTCTAGAGTCCCATGAAGGCAGTATCTTTTTGTAGGAATAAGTGCCTCAAGGATTGTATTTTTTGCCCAATTTCCCTACCATGAAGGATTGTAGGGGGACCCAGTTACACAATTTATTTGGGGAAAGCATGGGTTCTGGGAGAAAAGGGTTTTTCTTGGGGTGGGAGGAGGGAATATGGGAGTGGGGTTGGAGAGTATGTCTTTTATGCCAATAATTTCACAGCATTGACTTCATTTAAAATAGAATGAGAAATAATTCTCTTCTCACCAATAGGTGGTGTATTCTATTGAAAACCACAGTGCATCTCTTAGATTCAAAATGTTTATTTCCTGTTAGGAACCAAATCACAAAGAACCACCTTACAGTTTTGCTTTTCAAAGAAAAGGAAACAAACTGTAGAACTGCAGTGCACTCCAAGTGCCACATATCTATTTTATTTTTCAGGAAATCTTATTTGTATTTCTTTTTACAAGAGCACAACAGGAACCAAAAAGTAAAAGAGTAATGATACAGCACTCAGGATAAATCATATCTTTAAAAATAATAACAAAATTTACACCATGTCCTATATCCTGTTAGTATTTTCAGAATATGGCCGTGATTGTAAAACAAAAGCAAGCATTTACAATTTTTGGATAAAGACTTTTTTTTTAAATGCCAGAAATGGATTAATTGCCAATAAAATTTGTAGTAATTAGGCAGATGTAAATCTGTTTCTGTATTACCAGATTTCTAACAAATTTTGTTTTGGAAACAGAAAAAATATTGCCCCTTGATAATAAATCTTTTTTTTCTTTGATGCAAACAGCTAGAACACCTTTTTGATATTCTAAAACAAAAATGGTTACTCTTCAGATTAATAAATTAGGTCATTATAATAATAAATTAATTATTTGTTTTAAAGTTCAGCAACCTCTGTTCAAGTATTTACAACAATACTTGAAAGTTCCTTTACAAAACAGAACACATTTTCTTTTCACATTAAGCATACTGGGTATCTGTGTCTTTCACAACAAGCATTTGTAAAAGAAAAGTCAATGCACAAATGGGTAATTAATATAAAAGTGCTAAGAGCTGTTTGAAAAATTAACACTATAGTATACAGTCAGAGTTATAATTGAGGCAAACTACAACAAACTTCCAGCTTACTGTGGACAATATTCCAGTAGTTGTTTCAAACAATTGTTTGAAGAAAAAAAATCCAGGAGCTGATTAGTGCTGCATGTAAATTGCCATCAGTGTCTCTAGCCAATGTGTACATTGAAAACCAATACCAAAGGAGGAAAAAAAGTGAAAGAACACCTTTCTCCATAGCAAGAGCATTGATGACTGACTGCTAAAAATGTGTGCACATGCATACCTTCTTGTGTGCACAAACACACACTTACATGTGTGAATGTATATATATGCATATATATATATTTACACACAAGCACACACTCTCCTCACTTTCAAATTAAACTGTAGTTACAGTGAGATCTTTTCTTTGTTTTTTAAAAGTTCATAAGTGATTAAAAGCATTGGTATGGAATGCCTATTTAATCTATCTTTGCTCTGGTTAAAATCTCATAAAAATACATTCAACAGGAAAACATAAATTGTATGTGTATAAATATATATGTATATATATAAATATACACATGCACACAAATACTCTTGTTTTTTTTGAAGCTTAAGATATTTACATAAATATTCCTATAATTGCTAAAGTTTAAAGAGGCATAATTTTTTTCTGAGCTTCAACAAAGGTGCTTGAATAATATACAATTAAAATTAAGCTGCTTCCTAGCATGGAAGTAGTTTCTATTTTGTAGAACCAGTAAATAATAAGGAAAAATCCTAAAACAGTCTTTTTTTTCCTTAAAAAAAAAAACCACAACAAAAAAAACAAAAACCAACACAAAACAACCTGTTTCCTTTTAAGCTAGAGCTTCAACAAAAACGTTTTTTTTTTTATACTTTGAAACTATGAACAACCAACAGAACAGAACAGAACAAAGCAATAACAAACAAATGGACAAGCCCCTGGAAATGCCTGGCGTTCTTTGCCCTTTCCTTCCTTCCAGACTGTCGTAAGAAAAGCTCCAGTGCTCGTATCAAGAAATGACTTCAGTCTCATTCATTTGCTAACTCTGCCAGTAACTGGCTGATTGGCTTGGAAGAAGACAATAAAAGCAGCACAAGGAATAACTGTACACATCCTTACTAACCCGCATCCGAGAGATCTTGCTAACCCATCGCCCTGGCTTTCTCACTGCCTACTGCACGTTCTGATTGTATAGAAGAACCTGTGGCTATAGGACACCCGGGATGGCTGTTAAAGGCTTTTGTCTCTGAGTGTTGTCGTTCAGAAGTGGTTACAGCAGCTGAATCGTGAGACCCTTTTCTTGTTTTTCATTTAGGCTAGGCTTTGTTGCAACCAATGCAGCTTTAAGAACAATGAGAAAAAATGAAAGTCCTCCCGATGCTCGGCCATTTGACTGGTTTTATTTTTACCGGGTTTCTCCCCAAGCCAAGCTGACCAATCTGTCTTCCCAACACAACCCTCCCACCCACTAACCCAACTCAATGCTCCCACCCCCCTCCCCCAGTATTTCTACAGCTATATTACAAGCAAATATATCTTAGCAACTTTTGAAAACTTTGGTTCTAAGAAAACACTTGGTCAGTTATCATGAGGAAAAGTGGGAATGCTTGTTCTGGCACCTCGCTGTAGACAAAGCCCATCCCGGGAAGGTCTTAGAGCTGTACATGAAGTCACAAATCCAATACAACCCACTAAGCAAGTGCACAAATTCTAAGTTATAGCAGATTTAGTCTTTTTCTGTCTTTTTTTTTTTTAACCTCACCGAGGGTGTAGTTCTTCACACTGTCTGATAGAAATTATCTGCCTGAAGGTGGTTCTGTTTTTGCATGCTGTAGAAGCCACTAAATCTTGCATCTGGGTCAGCAATTCTTAGCATTCTCTGAGAACTATCCACCTGAACCATGGTTCCTTTCTTACAGTCCACATACACCAGCTGATTGTTTAGGGAAGAAGGCTAAAAAGAGAGAAAGAGAAACAAGAGTGGAATTAGTTAACCCCCTAGCCAATGTACAATCCACAAAATTAATATTATCAGTCTCCAAATAAAGTGATATAACAGTACTTTGTGCTAGCCAAAAGGGTAAGATTATACAGTATTCTGTTCCTGGTTCACATTTTGAGGACAAATTAAAGCATGTTCAGTGGAAGAGGCCTAGGGATGGTAGAGATTTGGAAAGCATGTCACATAAAGAAGTGGAGATATTTAGTTCTATCCAAAGTTACTAACAATTTCTTAATCACCAAATGTAATGGTCTTTCCTCAATCCTCATCTTCCTTAGACACTGTCAATGACCCTTTTCTCCTTGATACTCATCTTCTTTCTAGGTTTTCACAACACTGCTCTTTTCTCGTTCTCTTCCTACCTAGCTCACTGCTCTTCAGTTTCCTTTGTTGGATTCATCCAGGTCATACCTGCTAACTATAGATGTCCTTCAGGGCTCTGTCCTAGGCCCTCTTCTGTTCTTCCTCTATGCTGTTTCACTTGGTGATCTCATCAGTTCCAAGATTCAATCATCATCTCTATAATGATGATTCTCAAATCTACTTATCCAGCCCTAACCTCTCTGCTGCAGCTCCAGACTCATATTTCTAAGTGCGTACTGTACATCTTGAAGCGGATGTTCTATAGACTTCTTAAACTCAGCATGTCCAAAACTGAAGTCATTAATATTCCCCCTGAAATCCTCCTCCTCTTCTTAGCTTCCCTATTACTCTTGAGGGCACCACCATCTTCCCAGCCCCCCAGGCTTGCCACTTCAGTGTTTTCTTTGCCTCCACTTTCTCTCAGGAAATATGTGAAATGTGTGAAAATAATAAGGAAGCCTTTTCTAACAACTAGGCCCATCCACCAGTGGAACAAAGTGCTTCATGAGGTAGTAAAATCCTTGTTGCTATAGGTATTAGGTTGGATTAGGTGGCTTTTCAGATCCATGTCCAGACCGTATTGCCTCCCTTATTCCCACTTCTTCCTGTTAGAAACCTAGGGTCCACTCCTGGAACTAGGCTTTGGCCTTATCTTGCTCAGATCCAGGACTTTACTTCCTGACTTGGTGCCACCTGCCCTGTTCAGTACAAAGAAAAAAAAAATGCAACTTAAGGACCTAATTATTGTCAAATCCTCCATCCAATTTAACTAATGCAAATTAACTCATGCCATCATACATCTATACCTCTCCTGTGTTTCCTAGCACCTCTTTAATGTGTTATATTCCTCTCTAGAATTTCAACTGTTTGAGGGTATGGCCTGTCTTGCTTAATTTTATCCTCAGGATAAACTTAGCACAGTGGCTGGTTCACCACTGGTTTGGGCCAATGCAGAAGCTATTCCTGCTTTGGATGGCAAGCTGAACTAGATGATGTTTTCAGCTTTGAGATAATAAGCTACCTAGAATCCAGCTATTTAGAACACCTTACTTAGTGAAAAAGGCAACAACCTTCTATCCTGCCCCTAACAGACATAATCTGAATATGTTTTTGAAGGTTGATGAGCTTAATGTCTATGCTCTCTATCAATACTGACAGTTTCAGATTCAACCTTCATTTTGATGATTTTTGTTCTTTTTCCTACTCCAAGTTCTTTTCCTACTATTTCAAGAGCCAATATGGGGAAAGCACTGGACTTTGAGTCAGAGAGTTGGGGTTTCAGGCCTGCCTGTACCATTGACTAACTATATGACTTTGGTAAGTCAGTCCACTCCTCTGCGTCTTACTCTTCATTTGTAAAGTGGAGATACTATTTGTACTGCCTATTTCACAGCATCCCTGTGAGGCTCAAATCACATTACTTATGTAAAGCTCTTTGCAAATTATAAAGCTATATAAATGTCAGCTACTGATATTCACTTTTCCTTGTCTTTTTCTCTTTTTCACCATCATGTTTTTTCCTCTGCCATCTTCTATACTTTCCCCCCTCTGTTCTGGACATTCTCATTTTTATTTGGTTTCACTCTTGCCCCATCCAGGATAATCAAGTTACATTTAGCTTTCCATAATAGTTATAATCTATGTCTGTTATGAATAAGGCTATGTTCAATTGGTTCTTTGAAAACCTCAAGGTAAATTGAAGAGACTGGATGTTTCAAATGTTGAGTTTCATTAAACTAGTGGAGGTGGGAATATTTTCATCAGTAACATGGAACCAGCAGTATGAAATTAATAGCTATTTGATATTTACAGCCTGATAATCATTAGAAACTATGAAGCATAAAACCTGAGTTCCACTAAATAATTTTCAAGTACAAAGTTTAGATGCTTTCCTAATTTCACAAAACAATAAAATTTTCAGTAGTTTACCTTAGTAGGTGTTCGATACCAACAGAGCACTGGTATCCACTGTTTCTTCTGATTTAAAAATAGGAAAACTACTATAAGACCCAGGACTCCCATTATTCCTGCAACCCAGGCAAAGGATGCGAGAGAGGTGTCTTCACTTAGATGTGGCCCATTACCATCTCTGTACTCCACCTGAAGATGACCCATGTCTGGAAAAAAATAAAACAATAAAACATAAGTACTTGTTACTAAATCCCAAACCAGTTTTGGAGGGCTATCCAACTGACATTATAAACAAGTTTCATGGAATAATGATTTCAGTATTAAAAAGAAGCAATCATTTAGTCCAAATCATCTATGAAAGCACATTTGAAGTCTTCTAAAATGGTCCATTCCACTACTGTTTATCTATTTAGAAGTTTTTTCCTGACATAAAGACTAAATTTGCTTCTTTTAAAGTTCTACCCTACCCATTTTTGCTCATTCCTTTTACTTATGCCTTCCAGTGCCAAAACAAAAGTTAAATTCCTCTTACACACAAGAGCTTTTTTAGGTACTTGGATTCAGCTATCATGTACCCCCAGAGCCTATTTTTCAGGCTAAACATCCTTAGTTTCTTCAAGTGACTGGCACAAACTTAAGGCCTCCCCACTTTGCTTACTCTCTAGTTATCAATGGCTTTTCCAAAGTCTGGTGCCCAGAACTGAATGCAGTTATTTCAGATGTGTTCTGATAGGCAGATTACACTGGGATTCTTATCGCCTCATTCCTGAAAGCTATTCTTTTCTTAATGTAGCCCAAATTTTTTTTTTGGTTGCCATATCACTTGATTCATTAAACTAATATCCCACTAAAATCCCCAGCTTTTTTTTTCTTCAGACAAATGGTTCTATAATGATATTCCCCCAATATTGTACTTGTATTTTTCTTGAACTAAAATCTGACTTATTATTTTTAATTTAATATTCTTAATTAATTTTTCCAGTTTGTCAAGATCTTTTTGGATCCTCATTGTCATCTAGTGTGTTATCTATTCATCCTAGCTTTATTTGCAGATTTCAGAAGGATTCTGCCTGTGCCTTTATTGAAGACAAATAAAAATGTCAAAAAGCAAAAGGCTGAACACAGATCCTTTATGACCTTTTTCAGTTCGCACAGATCCATACTATATACTATAATGATAGTATGATTAAGTAACAACTTCCATATCCACTTAATTGCACTATTTCCTAGCCCATATCTCTCTCTTTTATGTAAGAACAGCTTGAGATACTTTTATGAAAAAACTTTGCTTAAGCCTAGCTAAACTGTTTTTACAGCATTCTCCCTTCCTACTCATTTAATAAACCTGTCAAAAAAAAGAGAAATAAAATTACTTTGTCACAATATGATTTTGGTGAAGCCAATCTAGCTCTTTGTAATCACCTCTTTTCCTAGTTGTTCATTAACCATCTCTTTCATCTTGCATTATAGAATTTTCTGAGGAACTGAAGTCAAGCTCACTGGCCTGTAGTTTGTAGACTATTCTCTCTTCCCTTTTTTGGAAACCAGGACATTTTCCTTTTTTTTTTTTCAAACTTGTAGTACCTCTCCTGTTCCCCATGATCTTTCATATGTCACTGACAGTGACTCAGCAATCACATCTGTCAATTTTTTCAGGCCCTGAGGATATAGTTCCTCTGGGCCATCTATCAAGGTCAAATAAGTATTCTCATATTCTCCTTACTTATCTTGAGTATCAGCTCCCTATTACATATTTTTGTTCTATGCTCTCCAGTCCAAAAGATAGTCTCCTCGGCAGAGAAAACAAAATCATAAGAAAGAGTTGAGCAACTTTGTCTTCCCTCCGTTGTCAGGTTCTCATAATTTTATCCACCCTGAGCAGAGATCCTATCCCTTCTTTAATCCTTCTTTTTCTCCAATATAGTTTAACAAAACCAAAACACTTTTTGTTGTCTTTGACTTTCCTTACCAGGCTCTTGGCTCATCCTGAGTTTTGGCTGTTCTGATACTGTTCTTATAGGATCACGCCACTATTTATATTCATCCTATCATCAGCTCCTGCTTATATTTTCTGTACAAATCATTTTAAAAAACCAAGTTGGCTGGTGACTTCTTTGCGTGTGCACATCAATCTCGTTAGAGAACTTTCCCATTGTTTTCTCTTGTATCCTCACAATTTCATTCTTTACAGTTTCCATCCTTCCTTGGCAAAGTCTTTATATGTAGAATTTTAGTCCATGGGATACTACATATCCTTTCTTTGGACCCTTTGACATTTCATGTCTCAAAATCTAGAGTCTATATCTTAAGACCAGCTTTCCTCTCACTATCACAAACTCTAGGAGGGAGTGGTCATTTCTCTGCAATATTCCCCATTTTTAGCCCACCAGTCAGTTTTCTTTCTTTTGGTCAGAATCAGATCCAGAATGGAATTTACTCCATTTTTGAAGGATGGAGTTAAGACAGAAGTTATTAGCATCCACTTGAGCGGTTTAGCAGGTGTTTAGATAACTGAAGTCCCCCATCACCATCAATCAACAAGCATTTATTAAGCATGTGATAGGCACTACGGCTATAAAGATAAAAATCATGGTGTCCCAACCCTCAAGGAGCTAACATTCTATGTATGTTTTTGCTTAAATAATAAATACAAGGTCAATTTGGGGAGGAAAAATGCTAGTGATAAAGACCAGGAGAAGTTTTATGTAGAAGGTGGTGCTTGATCTCAATAATGAAGGGAAGCCAAGGATTGTAAGAGGTGGAGATAAGGAGGAAGGATTTTCTAAATACGTTGGATAGCCATATCCCGTGTGAGGCACAGCAAGCAGTCGGGCAATCCTATATTATGCCTCTACTTCCTGAACCCATCTATCTGCTCTTTCTGTTTAGATGGTCTGTAGTATGCACTGATGATTAAATTGCTTCTGCTTCTCCCAAAACTCATTCCATAATGCTTCCCCCTTGTTCCTAGATTTCCTCATACTTTTTTTTAATGTACAATGCTGTCCTGTTTCTTCTGAATAAAGTAGACCCATCTAGACCCGCTTTCCAGTTATGAATGTAATCTCAACTGGCATCAGTGATACCCAAAAGGTCTAATTTGCCTGCTTTTGGTTAGGGCCATTAGTTTATTTTGCTTGTTGCCTAAACTTTTGCATTTAAGACTACGGCTTTTAGTGTTCGTTCCTTTCCTGGAATATATCTCCTTTGAGTTTCTAGGTGTCTTAGTAGATATTACTTCTGCATTGTGGCTTCTTGAATCTTGAGATTTGAGGTTGTTTTCTTTCCAACCTTTTTAACTTAAAGCTGTTTTGATTAGATTTGCAAGACACCTGACAAATATATTCTCCCCAAACTCTGTTTGTGATAGGTCTGCCATTCTTGCAATTTCAATCTGTGGACCAGAAATTTGAATCTTTATTCTCAGACACTGTCTTTTTGACTAGGTGTTCACCACCAAAGTCAGTTTTTGTTTTTCACATCATTTGTCCTTAATAGGCAACAGTGATGGCAATACCACCTATTCCCCCATGGTCTCAGTTTCTTTCTCAAGATTTCATTACCTTTTGCAATGCTTTTTAGGTTTCTTTTGGCAGTATGAATTATACCCAAGTGAATCACCCTAAGTAGTCAGCAAGTCATCTGTTTTAACCAGTCTTGGGAAGTTCTCTGTTATGTCTTTAATATACGCCCCAGGGAAGACAATAGAAGTCTCTATTGTTATTAGTTTCAACAACTGGGTTTTACTTCTCATTTTAGTTCTCAACTATGAAAACATTGTGCTATCAACATGATTAAAGTCTAGCTTTCTATTTAAAGGATCAAATGAATCCCTTGGGGTAGGATCATAAATTCTGACGGGGGAGAAGTATTAAAAAAAACAAGGCTGGGAAAGAACATTGGGCAGGTAAATGATGATTCCAACTTGGCAAGGAAAATTAAAACATACTTAATCTGTGATCTGAGGATCATAGCTTTAGAGCTAGAAAAGACTTCAGAGGTTACTTAGTCCAATGTCCTTTTATTAATGAGGAACCTAGAGCCCAGAAAAGGGAAGTGAGTTAGGCAAGGTCACACAGGACATCAGCAGAAAGTGGCGTAACTGGGATTAGGCCTCAGGTCTTTTGACTAGGTAGCCACAGCTAAGAGAATGATTAAAACTTGATTATAACTTGAAATTAAAAAAACATGTATCTTGACTTTCAAGTTCTTAGAAGAAGAAACATTAGCTGATCCCTTAATAACACAATGGAAAGACAAACAAAGAAATGTACAGCAAAAACAATAAGAATGCTCTGGAAAAGCCTTTGGTTCAACTTATTTTGCTTGGGTTAGCTCCCCGGGTCCATTGCTGTTGCTTAAGTTAAGATATCAGGACTGGTTTGGAAGGCTGTAACTTTGGTCTATCCTAATTCAACTTAGCTTCTCTAATTCATCCCACCGCTCTGACATTATGTCCCAAATTGGGAGAAGGGGAAAAGAAGAGGAGGACTACATTTGTTCCCTCTTGCCACCTTCATCATTGATAGAGGATTCATGAGTTTTCTTATTTCCTATGAAAAGGCAATGGTGAGCAAAGGATGCTAAAAGAAAACTGGGAAAAGAAGCCTTTTGCTTGGTAACAAGGACTGCTTAGAGTCCACCCAAGGAAATAATAATTTAAAATATTATTCTATAAACTAGAATAATAGAAACTAGAAGAAATTTTCTTTGTATCTTGTTGCTTTAAAATGTTCCTTAACTAATGACTGAACTTTTTTCAACTGACCTTATATTTAATATTTCAGTAACTTTTAAAATCATTTTTAGTGTTAGAAACCTTCTTTTGAGGCCCTCAAGGAAACTGATCTAACTATAACTTTGCCTGAACATTACTAAAAAAAAAAAGTCAAACTGTTAGAAAATTCAGTATATGTGAGACATGAAATCTGTATGGAGTCCAACTATATGTAATAAAGATTGTAATAGAAGATTGCGTACTTAAATACTATGAATAGATTTCATAGTTATCGAATCAAACATTTTGTAATATGTCTGCAATTTCTATTTAAAACAACAACAACAAAAAATCTATCAGATATCTAATGTCACTGATTTTGAGCTGGAAGGGACCATAGAGTCTGAATCCCTCATTTTACAGATGAGGAAACTGAGGCCCAGAATGACATAGCTGTTAAGTGTCTGGGGCAGGATTTGAATCTGGAACTTCCTGACTTAAGTCTAGTATTCTACCTCACTTTCTGGTGTAGAAATATGTCAGCTCTTATACTTCTTTGTAAGACCATGAGCTTTTATTTCTTATGAAGTAGATGAGAGTTATTTTCAGGTTTTTTTTTATTACTATGTAATAACTAACAGATTTCTGACAGGATGTCTAGGATGTAATAACTGCTTCTAATTATTAGGGGAGTCCACTTAAAAATTTGCCTATGGAGATTTTTTTTAAAAGGCAATACTATATTATTTTTTCAATACCAAAATTAGGGGCAGTAACAATGGTGGCAGAAAACATAAGATACTTTCTTCAGAAAGTGCTGTCAAGTGCTCACCCATACCTTGCATTACTAGTTCTTGAAGGCCCATAGTGAAAATCTGAACAGTTGGACAAGCACATGTTAAAAATGCCTTTGCCTCTATTATCCCACTTATTCCAGCCTACCCTACAACTTACCTCTGGGGAGATGGATGATGTCATTTTCACTAGGGGTAGGCCATACTGGTACCTCCAATTCAATCTCTCCACGATGATTTGTCTTCTCAATGGGAATATTGGTTGGTTCAGGTACATACATCTCTAAAAAAAGGGATACATTTCATAACATTTCATAAGAGATGACAAGAGTGATCATTTTCTTATTTTCAAACTAACTTGGCAAGCATTTCATTCACTCAAAATTTCTTTCCTGGAATACTAGTTCCTTGGTTTTCTTGAGTAGTTAAAGACTTATCCATTAGCTTGGTAGCCCCAGGAGCCAAAGCTCAAAAAATAAGGTGTGAGTTCCTCCATTCTCTTGCTAATGATATGCATGTTCACTTTTTACCTCTAATCAGAAAATTGAAGGTAGAGTGGGTTGAAATGTAAACATTTATTTTGGATCACTATAAACTCATATTGTAGTTTGGTCATTTTTGCTTTGTTGAATTCAATTAAAATTAGGAAAAAATAGGACTTTAACGACTAAATGATCTCCCTCTATATTCCCTGTTTCCCCTTCTCTCAATTCTCTCCCCACTTCCATATACACACACCCTCACTCACATTCGTGCCCTGAAAGGGACTGAATTGGAGACGTGGTGTGATACTCCCAATGTAAGGTTAAATAGTAGCTTATTAATTTGCTATTTATAATGAATAATGCTTATTCATTTGGATTGTTTATTATTCTATTTATATACCCTAAAGATGAGACATCTTGGCACTTTGACCAAAAGAATAATATTATTTGTCCCAAATGCTAGCTGTTTTTGGACCTAAATCTCCTGAGATTCATCTAAAACACTGAGAATTTTTCAGGGGTACCAATAAAAGAGATATTTTTGTAGGTCTTCTTGAAGAAATTAGCAAGAACTGGCTTAACATTGTTAGGAAAAAAATCTGAAGTATCTCTGTTTTATAATATAATATAAAGTTATTTTGACCCTTTCTCCTATGACTAGGCCTAATATTTTGATTTATTTTTGCAATAAAGCTACTCATTGTTTGTAAGAGAACACCCATAAAAACAATAATCACAGTGCAGTTACTAACAGAGCTCATCAACTGTTATTCTTTTTTTGGCTAGGCACTGGGGTTAAGTGACTTGCCCAGGGTCACACTGCTAGTAAGTGTTAAGTGTGTGAGGCCAGATTTGAACTCAGGTCCTCCTGAATCTAGGGCCAGTGCTCTATCCACTGCTTCACCTAGCTGCCCTGTCAACTATTCTTGATCTAAGTTATCTACCCCACTAGTTTCCTAAGTGAACTGAGGGAGAGGTCTTAGCAGAAGTAAGAGTTCTGGACTAGTGGGCTAAGGATGTGAGATTCATTCATTCAGTTGTTTTTCACTCATGTCTGACTCTATACCAAGAAGCAAAACTATTTGAAGGGGGAAAAGCTATTTTTTATATCATTGTATCTTCTACTTTGACTTTCAGATCACATGGTTTTGAGTCTCTCAGAAAAATGATGGTTCTTAATGATTTCCTGAAAATTCCAAGAGTAAAAACAGATCTTACTAAAAAGATAGTTTTATTCCTCAAAGAATAGACCCAAATATAAAGGAATAGAGTGGAATAAACATTTAGTTAAGAGCCTGCTATATGCCAGGCATTGTGCTAAGCATTGTACTTTCACAAGTGTTACCTCATTTAGGAGTTTTTCCTCATGATTAATTTTCAGGAGAAACAAAGCTATTTTATTGGTTATGTAGGATTCCTAGTAACTGTAACTGTGGTGAACATTCTCTTGCTAGGCTTATGCTGAAGTTTCTCACGTCAGTGCAGCACATATGGCTTCTTGCTAGTCCAGTGACCAGCTGGTTCCTAGCTTTAGTGTTCACTACAGAAGATTAATGTTAGAATGATGCCACAAAACCTGTCAGTATCAAAAGTAACAAATGTATTCTTAAGCCTATATCAGCTTGGTCAAATAGTTATTTGGTTGTCTTGTTAGGAGCAGAAATAAAAAAGCTTTGAGATTCTAGGAGAGAGGTCCTTAACGTGTGTGTGTGTGGGTGTGTGTATGTGTGTATGTAAATAGTTATCAAAACATTTTTAAATGTTCATAGAGCATAGGTTAAGAAGGCCTACTTTTAGTAGGATATATTTATAATTTTGGTCCAACTCTTCATGACCCCATTTGGGGTTTTCTTGGCAAAGATATAGAAGTGGTCTGCCATTGACTTTTTCAGCACAGTTTACAGATGAGGAAACTGAGGCAAGCCAGGGTCACAAAGTAAGTGTCTGAGGCCAGATTTGAATTCAGGAGGATGAGTCTTCCTGACTCCAGGCTCAGTGCTTTATCCACTGCACCACCTAGCTGCCCTTATATTTATAATATAAAAGACTGATATCCAGATGATCATAGATTTAGAGCTAGAAGGGAACTAAGCTCATCTGCTCTAACCCCTCATTTTATAAATGAAAGAACTAAGAGCTAGGGAGGTGAAATGATTTGACCAAGGTCACACTAGGAGAAAATGGCAGAGCCACAGGTCCTCTGACTTCAAATCTGCCTTTCCATTACATCATGCTGCCTCTCATGGTCACTCAACAAGTGTGTAAAATTCTCTAATTCTATATGGCAACTTGTTTCATAAAAATTAAAAAAAAATAACTTCACAGGAATTTCTCTAGGATAAAGGTGACCTTCTCTCTTGTGTGAATAATAAAGAAAGAGTATATGAGGTGAATGCTGCTTAAATATTTTCACCACTGATCACCTCAAGAGGACTGCACTTACTACCTTTTCCACTAAAAGCTGCTAAATTCATTTGTAAACCTTCTTCATTTTTCTTCTTAAAAACAAACTCCTTTCCTTTTTTCTTTATACAGAAAGTCTAACTTCTATACAAAGGCCTCATTTATGCTAAAGTCACTCAAACTCCATACCCAAAATGGGAAGCTATTACCAAGAAGGATGAGTTCTATTCTGATCTCCCCCCTCAACTACTTTTCATTTCTGTATTTATATCCTTAGAATCACAGGGCCAGGTACACAGCAGGTGGCAATAAATGCTGGTTGCTTGACTGACTGAAAGGACCTTTTTTATAGGCATCTATTTCTAGGTCAGATTAATACAATTTTCCAAAATTAATATTATGCTCTGGATAAAAGAGAGCATCGCAGATTCTCTTCTTACCTGGGCCGAAGCCTTCTATGCACAGTGGAAAAACTACACACTGTTCCAAAGTCTGAAACATGACATGCTCAGCATTTGTAAGGCATGTTAGCTAGAGCACATTCTAAAAAATTAGAGTTTATGGAATTTCAGAGTTTAACAGTCAGTAGAGGAAAGACTACTTGCCACCATCAAAAACAATTATTTAGTTTAACTAGTCCCTTCATCAGAATTAAGGGAAATTATTAGAAGCAGAGATAGGATCATCCAAAGAGGTAGAAAAATTCAGAAAGATGAAAACAGACATTTTAGCTGTTTGTGAATAGGGGAAGAGGGTGAATTTTACTGAAAGAGGTACATGAAAAGCAATAATTGTGATTGTATCTAAAATCCTTTTCTTCTGAAGAGCTGACCGTCTTTCCTTGGGCAAAGTATGTGAAGCTTTCATAGTAAAACTTCTAGAAAGATCTAGTTGGCTGGACAGAACAATGGAAAAGTGCCAGTATCTATGGTGTTATGTATCCTCACCATATCCCAGTGACTTAGAGAAAGAATAAATGTATATATTCTCACTATACAGAGAGAAATGAAAGTGAAAGAGTAAGAGACTTGCTTAAGATCACACCAAGAGCTTTCAATGGAGCTGGAAAGAGAAGCTAGGTTTTCCAGTTTCTAGTTTTACCCTTTGCTGCCTCTTCCCTAGGCCTTTTGAAGAGGATACATGTTTTTCAGTTCTCATTAAATCTGAATTGCAGAAATGATAGTGAAAAGGGACCCCAGAGGCCATTTAAGTCCAACAAATACCCAACCGGAATTCCCTCTACATCTCTAATGTGTGGTTATTATCTCCATTTTATGCTGTATCCATCTTGTTTGTATATTGTCTGCATATTGTCTCCTCATTAGACTATCATCTCCTTGAAAGCAGAAATGTTTTTTTCACCTTTCTTGGTATCTCCAGCACTTAGTACAGCTCCTTGACACTCTAGGCACTTAGTAAATGCTTGGTGACTTACTGCCTTGACTTTAAGTGAAATGAAACAAGATATCTCATGATGTAACTCATTTTATTTTAGAGTGGCTCTACTGTTGGCAAGTTTTTCTTTTAGGCCCAAACCTGTCTTTCAGCAACCTCTACCCACTGTTGTTCCCTCTGAAGCCAAACAGAACAAGCTTGGTGACTCTTTTACATAAAAGCCCTTCAAATGAGGAGGAGGAGAAGAAGAAGAGGAAGAAGAGGAAGCAGAGGAAGAAGCAGAAGCAGAAGCAGAAGAAGAAGAAGAAGAAGAATCAGAAGCAGAAGAAGAAGAAGAAGAAGAAGAAGGGCTATTATGTCACTCCTAGATTAAGGTCCCCAGCTCTTCTGACCAATTCCCATATGGAAATTCCATACTCCTTCCTCCAATGTTCTCATTAATGTCCTTCCAAAAGAGGCACCCAGAACTGGATCTACTCCAGATATGTCCTCACTAGGGCTGAATATAGTAGACTCAGCACTGTCCTTGTTCTGGATATCATACCTCTTAATAAAGCCTAGGATATTATCTTACTTGGATGCCATGTAACACTTTTGACAATTTAGATTGAGCTTGCAGTTCCCCAAACCCTCAGATCTCTTTTGTGGACTTATCAGATGATGCTTCCTTCTCATACTTGTATAGCTCACTTTTTGAACTTGAGTGTAAGATTTTATGTTTATCCACATTAAATTCCACCTTTGTAGACTTGGCCCATCATTCTAGCCTGTTGGGATTATTTTGGATTCTCCATCCTGTCATTTGTGTTTGCTATTCCTCTCAACTTTGTGTTACTTGTAAAGTTGAAAACTATACCATCCATGCCTTCATCCAATTTAATGACAAAAAAATAAATAGTACAGCATAGGGCCGCTCTATGGACACCTCCCTTCTACATTGATACTCTTGGATAAAATGGTGGGTCACACTTTAGCACATATGACTTAACAAATACACATTTTTGCAGAGATAATAAACAGAAATCCCGTATTTATCTGGAGAAGATACTATCGTTCTCTTTCACTTTTATCTAAAGATGGGTGTAATAATAATTGCTAGCCTTTAATAGTGCTTTATGGTTTTCAAATATTATTTTAGTCTCACAATAATCCTGGTAAGTAAGTGTTATTATTATCACTCCCATCTTACAGATAAGGAAACAAGCTAACAAGTTAAGTGAGTGGCACAGGGTCACAGAGGTAGTAAGTATCTGAGGGTAAATTTGAACTCAGGTCTTCCTGACTCCAGATCTAGCACTCTCTACTACACCATTTAGTTGAAAGCAGCAGATTCAGGAATTTCAAAGAACACGATCCAAGAGTTTAAAAAAAAAGAATTGCTAGAAAGTCATCAGAAAACATTGAGTGATCAATATATATAATATTCAACAGTATCTGAATTTTTTCAATAAATAAAATATAAATGCAGTCATGTTATCTGCACTTTTCTGTCCCCTGCACTTGCCTCTTCCTCTCTAGTCTCAATACTACCTCTCTTGTTCACACCTTATCTTCTCATGCTTGGGCTACTGCCAGGTCTTTTACCTGGTCTCCATTCTCTTACAAACACCTTTCTTGCACTGCCATCAGATTATTTACTGAAACACCATTTTTATTATGTTACTTCATTGTGCATAAACCTCTAGTGGTTCTCCTCTGTGAAGCCTTCCTAGTCCACTGCAACCTGCAATGATGTCTTCCTCCTTTGAACTCAGACCACTTACCATTTGCCACCCATTTGGAAATAGTCATTGTACTACCTTGTGTCAGTTCTTGCATTTTTGCCTTTATTACCTATTCGATGATTATTTAACTTCATCCTTTTGGACTTTGTCTTTCCAACTAAACTGTTGGGTCCTGTGAGGTAGAGACTTTGTTTTGTATTTCTCTGTTTTCTCTATGGTCACCAAACTTGTGAAGAAATAGTTGATAAGCTCTAGGCAATAATAATAGAGCTCAAAGAAAAAATCCTATTTTTTTCCTTCCTGTTCCATACTGGAAATAAAATAAATTTATTAAGCATATCAATACATTAAACTATCAAAATGAAACCATCAAAACTTTAACTCAAAGTCCTTCCTTTAAATGGGAGATTTGGACTGTTTCTCATGTGTCTTTCTATACATTTATATATGCATTTGCATATCTGTATATATGCATATATACATAACATATATATGTATATGCATATACATGTGTGCACATGTGTATATACAAACATATATGCACACATATATATGTAATGTATATAAATTTAATCTGGACCCGTGACTCTATTAATGTTGTGATATGCTAGTTTTGAAACTCCTTTCACGAATTCAACTCTTCTGTACCTTGTAATAGTAGAGAGTTAGCTAGGCCACTGAAAGGTTAAGTGATTTGCCCTGGATCACAGAGCCAGGACTTAAATCCAGGACTTCTCAAATCCTAGGTCAGCTCTCTATCCCTTATTCCATGTCTTTCAGATTATAATATTTTAGTAAGCTCAGCTTTTTAAAACAGCCAAATTAAATATAATTCTGTTTGAAAGAAATAGAATATACATACATGTATGTAGTATACAAACACACACAAACATATATACATACACTTAAGGCCATATTTATACAATGTCTATATAGGTGGCCAATTCAGTGAAAAGCTCAAATAAATTTTTTGGTTCTCTTAATACCAATTAATAGCTTGATTAATGAAAATGTTCACATCTTTATGAACTGTTCTGGTACATTAGAAACACAGCCATAAACTCTCTATGAGTCCTAGTTATTATATTGAATAGGGTATCATATTCAGACACAACTAAGGAAGAAAGCTGTGAAATACCAACTCCTTAACATGGCATTTAAGGTATTCTAAAATTTCCTTTCTCCCTTCCAGTCTACACACTTGAAATCCAGACACGCTGAGTTACTAGCTATTCTTTTATAGTATCCTATACTTTCCTTCCTCTGTTTCTTAAGATCAGCCATGCCCCATGCCTGAAATGTATAATGTATGGCTGGATGAAATCCTATGGCTCTGTTCACAACACAGCTTGGTGCTACCAGTTTTATGATGCCTTCTTTGATCTCTTCCTTCTGAAATTTTTTAGAGCATTTTTTTTTGAGTTTTCCTTTTATCTTATCACATTTTACCTTGGACCATACTTGAATGAAAAAATATTTCTTAAGTACTTACTATGTGTCAGGCATGGAATGCATGTTGTATCTCTTTTTAGTTTATAAACCTCCTTGAGAGTAAGAACTACATGGATTTTTTTCATCTTTGTACCTGACTCCTTACTAGTAGGGTGATTACTTACTATTCTTACAGTGTGTAAATATATACACACACACACACACACACACACACATATATATATATACACACACACACACATACATATATATACATATATATGTATATATCTATCTGTTGAATTGAACTATATTCTTGAACTATTGAGTACTCATCCAGTACAATGCTAAAATGGAAGTGGTAGGGTTCTTCAGTCCCTTTAGTTCCTCAACAACATTCCAGCCTGAATCTTTACAACTGGCTTAATTATTCTTAGCCCATAGTCTCCAGTCCTTGGATATATGGGGCTGCTTCGCTACTACTGAGATGCCATTGGAAAGATAGGATCAACTACCAAGTCTAAGATTTACGGAAAGGCAGCATGGAACAGTAGATGGGAGTGCTAGAATTGGGAATCAGGAAGACCTGGGTTCACATTCCAACTCTTACTAGATGATACTTACTAGCTGTGTGACTGTGGGCAATTTTGAGTCTTAGTTTGCTCATGGGGATGTTGTCAGGCTCAAAGAAGATAATGGGGGTACTGAGCTTTAGAAACCACAAAGCATTATATCAATATCAGGTATTTGTAGGTGAGAAATGATAGTAGGGAAGGGAGATGATGCTACTTTTGGGAAAGGGGAAATATGAGGAAAGAATTTGTGGGAAGAGCAATACGTGGGAAGAGATACATAATTAGAGCAGTGGTAGTTGGTGACAAGTTAGTTAAGTACATGAGTGTGATATTTGATATGGAAAGCACTAATGAAGGGGGTTGGTGGGGAAAAAGCTTCATGTAAATCCCTCTGATTTGGATCTTTTGTCTAGTCATGTGTTAAAGCCCAGCCCAGTTTGTCTACTACCACTCCTTTTACTGAACCTGCTCATTATGCCCATCTAGTTTTGCAAGATGGGTGTCAAATAGCAAAAATGATTCTCAACTATTCAACATATTTTCTTTGAGATGAGGCAACAATACTTGTTACTTTGTACTCACAGGACCAGACACTTATCTAAAGAGCACAGAACACATGCATCAGTGGAATTCAGGTCTCTTATGAGATAGAACAAAAACACAGCACATAAGCTAATAGACAGATTTCCCCAAGTATTTTACTTTGCCCCATGAGCAGCTTGAGAAATGTGGATTAAAAAGGATGAAACACACCCTCCTGCACTCATGCTTAAATAAAACAAAGTTAACTTGAAAAATGGGAGGGCCATTGCTTTATTACCTGGACAAATTGGGCAGCAACTTCCTTCAACGTTGATGGGCTCTCTACAGGGCAGAGGTGGGCAGCTGACAGTTGAGCACAGGGTCTGGCCCTGCAAACAGTAGCAGTGCGTGCAGCTGTCGATGTCCCATCTTTCTTCATCTGCGTATGTTTTCCCACTGAAGTGGCACACGGCCTTCTTTGGTACTGGATCTTCTATTGAAGAGAATAATACATGGATGATGCTTCTTTAGCTGGTAAAGCATCACACTACACCATTTACAAGAAACAAATGGGTAAAATTTTTTAAAAGTTGTAGTCATGTTTCCAAAGTTTGGGGTGAATTTTAGGATATATTTGCAAGGCTCAGAAACAGTCCCATTCAGCTCACAAGTGTGTGTATATGTATATGTGTGTGTGTGTGTGTGTATACATGCACACACACATATATTTATATATAGGATAATGCAGTGGGAGAGGGATCAGGAAAGGCTTCATGCAGAAGATGGTGCTTGAGCTGCACCTTGAGGGAAGAGAAACCTGAAGATTCTATAAGTCAGAAGAGAGGAGGAAGTATATTCCAGAGATGGAAGATGGTCAGTCCAAAGGCAGCAAGATGAGAGCTGGAGTGTCTTGTGTGAGGAATAAGGAGAAATTCAGTTTGGCTGGATCTCAGAGTACAGAGGGCAAAAGTAATGTCCAATAAAGTGGGAAATATAGATTGGGGACAGGTTGTAAAAGGCTTTTAGTTTCAGTTAGAGGTTAGTGGAAAAAAAAGATGCTATTTTTTCCCCCATCTAAGTTCATGAATTCCTTGGAACCTATCTACAGACTCCTTGGGTGGGGGTCGGTCCTGTGGATCCCAGGTTAAGAACCCCTGCCTTGGAGGAAGAATAGAGCCACTCAAGATTGCTCAGTAGGGGTGTCAGATCTGTACTTAAGGAGAGTGAATCAGCAGTGCAGAGGATGGACTGGAATGGGGAGAGCCTTGAAGCAGAAGGACTCAGTAGGAAACCACTGAAATAATCTAGGCAAGAAAAAAGGTGACTAGTGACTAAAATAAAGTGGTTGATATGTGAGTAAAAAGAGGGATTTGGATGTCAGAGACACTGTGGAGGCAGAAAGAACAAGTACTGGCAACTGACTGGATATGTGGGGTGAGGGACAGTGATGAGCTGAAGATGACACCAGGGTTATGAGCCTAGGAGACTGAAAGAGAATAGAATAGGATATTCAATAGAAATAGGGAAATTTGGAAGAGAGGGGGGTTTTGGGGAAAAGATAATGAGTTCACTTTAGACATTTAGAGTTTAGAGTCTCTGATGTATCTAGTTTGAAAAGTGATACACATTATACATACTATATATAATATACATATATATATATACACAAATACATATATATGTATCTGAATTGAGGTGATGGGATGATAATTAATCTCATGGGCATTAATGAGGTTACCTAGAGAGATAGCCTAGAGAAAAGAAAAAGCCTAGATAGAGCCATGGGGAAAACTTATGGTCGGGGGCACAACATGGATGAGCCAGAGAATGAGGTGACTGAGAATAAACAGTCAGACAGTTAGGAGAACCAGGAAGGAGTAGTAGCATGAAAACAGGAGAGAATATTCAGGAGGAAATGGTGGTCAACACACAGCAAAAATTTCAAAGATAAGGCCTGAGAAAAAACCATCAGGTTTTGGCATATCATTGGTAATTTTGGAGATCAGTTTCAGTGGATTGATGAGGTTTGAAGCCAGACTGGAAAGAGTTGAGGAATAAGTGTGAGAAGAGGAATAATGATGACTTCTTAAGGATGGAGGAGACCGGGGCACATTGGGAGACAGTAAAGTATGAACCAGTAGATAGCGAGAGGTTGAAAATTGAGAGAAAGGAGATAGTAAAGAATGCAATTTACTGGAGAAGATGGGAAGGGATGAAATCAAGGCCTTATGACACATGTGAAATATATCGTAGATTAACTTTATAAAATTAAAGATTTTACTGGAGAAGACGGGAAGGGATAAGCTCAAGGCCTTGCGATCTTGTGAAATATGTGAAATATGTCTTAAATTAACTTCATAAAATTAAAGATACACACACACCCATACATACATATTTTGGGTATAGCTTATATGTAATGCCTTTGTTTAAAATGTCCATTTCCACTATTTCCTCTACTTGCTCAAACTAAAACTGAAATAAATTTTTATTTGAGTAATTTGTGTTGATTTCTTCTTTCTTACCTACCTCCCCATAATAACAGCAGTTTAAGAACAAGCAATAGCAGTGTCATAAGAAAGACCAAGAATTGTGTGACACTATTATGAGGAATTAACATTTAAGTAATCATTTCCTTCAATCTCACTGAGGGTGGGTGCATTTTCCACATTAAAAAAAACAAAACAAAACAACCCAGGATTCAACTTTATTTAAAAATACTTAAAGCAAAATAAGTATTTCAAAACATTTTGTAAAAAAAAAATTCATTTATAATATTTTAGAGCTTAATTATAAATTAGGTTCTCCTCTCCTCTTTCCAACTCAAAAACTTTCCAACTTCTCTAGTTTGCCCGATTTTGTCCTCCTTGCACGCTCACTTTTCTTTGGCCTAACTCCTTTTGCCAGTTTCCCAGAATGAGTGGAAAACAATTTCTCAGGGCTAGTCCTATAACACAAAGTCGACTAATAGTGGTTGGGAATAATTATCAATTGGGCAGCAGGCAAGTAATAACAGAGAGGGACAAACTAACAGGGAGATATTCTTTTGAGGAAAACTTTTACTTGCTTCTGTACAGGTCAAAAAGTTGATAAAGGGAAAGATGATGCAGAGAATAGTATACAGTGACCAGATAGTGACCAGATTAATAGAAATCTCATGCTCAGATTCCTGTTTCCTTGGTCCTGCTTGTGTGGCTGTAGATTCATCATTTAATAATCATCAGTAAGTGAAGAAAGTGAGTGAAGTCATACAAGAATAACTTAGAAGGAAAAGAATTTCCTTCCTCTCTCTCTCTCTCTCTCTGTCTCTGTCTCTCTCTCTTTCTTAAAGAAAAAGGTGCCTAGAGCACGACCTTTTGGAAAACAGTTCTTTCAGAATCAGTGCTAAGCACATAGATGTGTTCAGTGGATATCTGCTGATGAAGAGGGTACAAGAACTGAATCCAGAGGGGCAGAATATTTGTCAGGGTGTTCTGAAGAGGGTTGGAGTTGAAATGCTTAAGGAATGAGAAGGGCTTTCTGTCCAGCAGAGTCCCAAAGTGTAGAGCAGAGTGACTGGAAGTAGTTATCCTATGATTTTGTGTAAAACTATTCCAGAAGGTAAAAGCATCATGCATAGGATAATCATAATATTTTGAACTGGAGGGCATCTCAAAGGTCACAGGATCGTAAGATTAGAGCTATGGAACTGAGAAGGAACTTAGAGGCCATCTAGTCCAATTCCTTCATTTTGCAGAAGAGGAAACTGAAGCTCAGAATCTATTTAAATGAGATTTCTTGTGGAAAACCAAACAAACCATAGTTGGTAACATTTTGTCTCTTGTATTTATGCCCTCAAAATTTCTAATGTCCTAGACATAGAACAGAAATGAATATATGTTAAGATTAAGTACGATACCTCTCTTACACATCTTCCCTTTCTATTGTTACAAAAATATACTTCTTTTTACTTGTACAGATTGCAAAAGAAGGTTTTCTGGTCAGTTGACTTCATCTTCTTAAATTAAAAAAAAAAACTTCAATTAGATATTTTCCAGGTTAAATTTAAGATGAAAGCTATTACCAAGAATAATGCATGATGGATAGAACAGAATTCCTACAAACAACTCCAAATTCAGCAATATCTTGGGTAAAATCATAGGAGTATAGATCTAAAGCAGAAAGGAACCTCTGAGGTCACCTAGTTTAAATCCTTCATTTTCCAGTTGAGGAAAATGAGACCTACCAGGGTTAAGGTCACTTGGGTAATAAGTCAGGATTTGAACTCGTCTCCACTGACTTCAAATCAACTACTCTTTCCAGTGAACCACACTGCCACAATTTGTCAATATAAATTAAAAGTACTACTTTGACTTCTACCCAATATCTCATTTCATTAAAGCCGACACAGAATAGCATTGTACAAATTGGAGTATGCAATCTAGTGAATATTTTAGAGAAAGTTTTTTTTGCAGTTAAATATCTCTTCACAAAAGAATCTTAATGATGCTGTTTTACAGAACCCAAGAAAGTTCATGGCATGGACTAATAAATACATAATGGAGATTTATACAATAATTCTATTGCTGCACACTAATGTTGTAATCTTCTATGGAACAGAGTATTCATACCAATGAGGTCACGAATCCATCAAATTATTAAGCAAATATTTAAATCTTCCCATTTTGAAGAAGGCCAGCTAGGTGGCACAGAGGATAAAGTGCCAGGTCTGGAGTCAGAAGGACCTCAGTTCAAATCCTGATCTCAGATACTTACTAGCTGTGTGACCTTTGGCAAGTCACTTAACCCTGTTTGCCTCAGTTTCCTCATCTGTAAAAATGAGCCAGAGAAGAAAATGGCAAACCACTTTAGTATCTGCCAATAAAACCCCAAAAGGAGTCACGAAGAGTCAGATACAACTGAAAACTATGAAACAATTCTGAAGAAAGGAAGGAAATAAGCATTTATTAAGTGCTTACTATGTGCTATGTGTTCTGCTAAATATTTGGGATGCAAATATAAGCAAAAAGACAAAAAAAAACTGCCTTCAAGTAGCTTACATTCTAGCTAACACTAGAAGAAACAGAACTAAAGACCTTGAAGGATCAAGCTGTGCCAACTGACAAACTGCATTTGGGGGGGGGTTAGGCAATGGGGTTAAGTGACTTGCCCAGGGTCACACAGCTACTGAATGTTATGTGTCTGAGGCTACATTTGAACTCAGGTCCTCCTGAATCCAGGGCTGGCTCTCTATCCACCGTGCCACCTACCTGTCCCAATACATTGCATTTTAAAAAAAAAACTATAAGGCAAAAAAAAGGATGAAAAATTTGTTTCAAAGTAAGATTATTATAATTTTTGTTTCAATTCATATACCTGGTCCTTCTAATGCTAATGGGGAAGATACAGGAAAGCCCCCGTTTTTACTTACTGGATTTTTCTTTTGGTTGGGAAGAATTTTGTGGAGAATTCTTGTAAGAAAGCTATGGAGGTGTGACAAGAGTAAATCTCCCCTCA